AACACAACTTCCCATGTAGAGCAACTCATTTAACCAAGAGACTCAGCTGGGACCCTCAGTGGCTAGGAGAGCAGGGGGAAGACTGGGGACAGTCCAGGGTTAATTCTAAAATCAGCAGACCTACCTGATGAAGGAGGGAACAACAGTCTCAGATTCTTATAAAGAGTGATCCTCTTAAACTGGAAGCCTGTTCTGGCACCTTTGCTGTGTTCATAGGCAAGTCAAACAGTTTTTTTGTGTTTGAGAACTCTATTTCATTCTTGGACTTGAAAAGCTTCTCCTTTATTGTTTTCCTTTTCAAAATAGATCTTTCGATAGCTAAAGCAACATTGAAAAAAGAACAAAATTAAAGATCCCTCACTTTCCAATGTCTAACTTTATTAAAAGTTGTAATAATCAAAATAGAGTGGCATAAAGATAGACACACAGCTCAATGGAATAGAACAGATAGCCCAAATATAAACCCTTGCATATGTGGTCAAATGATTTATGACAAGGGTACCGGAACTGTTCATGGGGAAAGGACAGTCTGGTTCGAACTTGTCTTGTCTTCTCTCCTCTCCTCTTCTCTCAATCTCTCTCTCTCTCTTCTTTTTTTTTTTTTTTTCCAAACAGTGTCTTACTCTGTTGCCCAGGCTAGAGTACAGTGGTATGATCATGGCTCACTGCAGCCTTGACCTCCTAGGCTCACGTGATCCTCCTACCTCAGCCTCCTGAGTAGCTGAGACCATGGGAATACACCACCACGCCGGGCTAATTTCTGCTTTTTCTTTTGAGATGAAGTCTCACTCTGTCGCCCAGGCTGAAGTACAGTGGCACAGTCTCTGCTCACTGCAAGCTCTGCCTCCTAGGTTCAAGAAATTCTCCTGCCTCAGCCTCCCTCAGCTGGCACTATAGGTGTGTGCCACCACACCTGGCTAATTTTTGTATTTTTAGTAGAGATGGGGTTTCACCATGTTGGCCTGGCTGTTCTCAAACTCCTGACCTTGTGATCCACCTGCCTTAGCCTTGAAAAGTGCTGGGATTACAGGCATGAGCCACCACACCCAGCCCGCTAATTTTTAATTTTTTGTAAAGACAGGGTCTTGCTATGTTGCCTAGGCTGGTCTCAAACTCCTGGGCTAAAACAATCCTCCTGCCTTGGCTTCCCAAAATGCTGAGGTTACAGGAGCGAGCCACCATGCCCAGCCAGGTCAGTCTTTTCAACAAGTGGTATTCGGAAAACTGGTTACCCATATGGAAAAAAATAAAGTTGAACCCTTACCTTGCAGAATATACAAAAGTAACTCAAAATAGATCAAAGACCTAAACATAAGAGCTAAAACTATAAAGCTCTTACAAAAAAAAAAAAAAACATAGAGAAAAAGCTTCATGACATTGAATATGGCAACGATTTTTTTGTGGACATGACATCAAAAGCCCAGAAAACAAAAGAAAAAATAAATTGGACCTCATCAAAATTTTTAAAATTTCTGTGCATCAAAGGACACAATCAACAAAGTGAAAAGGCAACCTATGGAATGGGAGAAAATAACTGCAAGTTATATATCTGATAAAGATTAATATTCAAAATATTCAAATAACTACAACTAAACAGTAAGAAAACAAATCACCTGATTTTAAAATGGGCAAATGACTTGAATAGATGTTTCCTTAAAGAAGATATACAAATGGCTAATAAGCATGTGGAAAGATGCCCAACATCACTAATCTTAAGAGAAATGCAAATCAAAACCACACTCCTCACATCCACTAAGATGGCTACTGGAAAAAAAAAAAAACAAAAAACAGAAAATAACAAATGTCAGTAAGGATGTAGAGAAATTGGAATCTTTGCAGGCACTGTTGGTGAGAACGTAAAATGGCGAAACCACTATGGAAGACACTAGGATAGCTCCTCAAAAAATTAAAAATAAAACGTTCGTGTGATCCAGAAATTCCACTTCTGGGTATACATCCAGAAGAATTGAAAGTAGAGTCTCAGAGAGATATTTACACACTCATGTTCATTGCAGTATTATTCATGATACTTACAATGTGGGAGAAACTCTAGTGTGGGTCCAATAGGTGAATGGATAAAAAAAAAATGTGCCATATACATACAATTTAAAAAGGAGCCTTAAAAAGGAAGAAAATTCTGACATATGCTACAGTATGGATGAACCTTAAGGACATTATGCTAAGTGAAATAAACCAGTCAGAAAATGACAAATTTTCTATAATTCCACTTATATGAGGTATCTAGAGTAGTCAAATTCACAGAAACAGAAAGTTAGATGATGATTGCCAGGGGCAAAGGGAAAATGGAGAGTTATTGTTCAGTAGGTATAGAGTGTGCGTTTTTTAAGATGAAAAATCTCTGGAGATTGGTTGCTCAACAATATGAATATACCTAACTACTGAACTATACACTTACAAATGGTTACGATGGTTAATTATTTTATGCGTAGTTTACCGTAATTTTAAAACTAAAAAAAAGCCAAACGGATCTTTTGGTGACAGCAATGGTTGGATGTTGCTTCAAACAGGCCCAGGTTGTAATCCTGGTCGTGTCATTAACATTAAGCAAGTGGCTGCACCTTGTTTAAGCCCACATCTCTTCATCTGTTAATGCAACATGTGCATTTCCTCACAGGGTTGCTGTGAAGATTAAATGAGGTATTATTTGTAAAGTACCTAGCACAAGATCTAGTATATAGGAAAGCACTCAATAAGTGTTGGTTCCTTTACTTACACATTCATGAGCGCACATTGTTGGGGTCCAGTTGGATAGCAAAGGAAGTAAGGTTTATGGGGAAGATCTCTTGTAAAGAAGCAGCCACATGTGCCTTATAGTCTTTCCCTCTTTGTTTAAGGCGACAGTATGAAGTTCACACCAGATTCCACAGGTCAGCAATGTTTTGAAGCTGTTCCTGGTTGCTTACATGGGACCCTCCTAACTAATGTGGCTCCTGACCTGTACTGAGAGGGAGGCATCTATTCTTCCACATAGAGTTTTCTCAGAAGGTAGTTTTATGCTGATTTTCCACTACAGATGGGGACTAAGGGAGGCAGGATTATTTACATGTATGGCCAGCATACTGCTATTTCTTTCCACATCTGCTACTTTCCAATTAATCTCAGAAGTTTTCCTTGTGCTGTGTCTTTTGTTGGAAAACTGGTGGTTTCCCAGAAGAGCTAAGTTTGTTTTCTAAAGCTCTACTCAGAAACCTCAGGATATTTGAGAGGGAGATGTGGATTAGGGTTTTCTGTCTTTCAACCTTAATATTAAGACATTTGAGAAGAAACCTTGAAGTTTAGAGAATGTATCTGACCTCTTCACAGGGCTGCTTCATCTATGCTCAGTTGGGTGTCAATTAAGCAATGCTTTGCCTATTGTAGAAGTGTCAGCCAAAGCTGTCCTTGAGTGCCCAGTGTAGCCCTGTCAGGGATAATGGAGTTGGGAGGGTGGAGGAGAGAAGAGGAAGAACAGATGAAAAAGCAACTTGAATTCTATAATATTCATGGGCCAAATGAAGTCAGTAGCCTTTTTGACATGTAGAAAGATGACTACATTTTATTAGCCAGGAAATTCTCAAAGTTCCATTATCACTGCACTAACAGGAAAGGTATGGTTTCAAAAGCATTCCTAACTCTTTCTTTCTCTAAATCTTTGTTCATTTCAGGACCTAAAGTGCCTGAAATAAATTCTACCATTTTATTTTGTTCTCGTTTATGTTAATTAATAGGTAGCAAATTGGGTTATCTAAAACATTTTCCTGGATGAGTTTATCAACTCTATCTCTGAGTCCAGAGTTGTTTAGAGGCCTCTGAGTGGGTGTGTTAAGTGATGCAGCAGAGAAGAGCAGTAGAACCCAGGGCAGGGTCTCCACAGAGTGGCCCATTAACCAGCAGCATCACTTGTGGCTGCAATGTTCACGTCCTCCCACACCTACAGAATCAGAATCTCTGGAGGTGGACCCAGAAATCTGTGTTTTAAGAAGACCTCTCAGTGATTCTGATGCACCACCAATGTCAGAAACATGCTTTTACTATCCATAATCCACAATTCATGTATACTGAGCACTTACTCTCTATCTGGCTAGACTCATATATTTTGTCTACTAATTACAACAATCCTTTGAGGCTGATATTTCTTGACAATTTGCAACTGAGAAAAATAAAGATCAAAGCAATTAAATAATATTTTTCCAATGCACCCATTATATTTCATTTCTTGGGAACAAGAAGCCTGGCCGTATACCCTTCCTACCAAGAGGTGGAAGGACAGCCTGGCACTGAGCCAGTGGTTTGAGCTTTTCTCCCAGGACCAAATAGACACAATGAATAAGGTCCTATTAGCTATGACTCTCAAGATCTCTGTTTCCTAAAAATGTCTCTTATTTTTCTTAAGGTCTCAACGTATAAGAATATGAGCACACTGTCTGCTGGACCCTTATGCTGACTGACAGAACATGATTAAGAGAAGATTCAGTTAACTAATGCCCAGGCTGCACTCAGCATAGTGCATACATATTCTGGACACATTAACTTTTTCCATGTAATTCCCTCTCCTCCTAATTTTTATTTGTCTGCATTTTCAGGCTATTTTTTTCTTTCTAAAATGTCATACCAATTCCCACATGTATTTTCAAGTCTAGTTCTACATCCTTTATATCTTTCTTAAATGCTCACTTTGGACAATTCATCCTTCCCTCTGCAATACCCATGGCCCTTTATCTTCACAATTCAATAACCCTCACAATACCTTCAGAGAGGGCACATTGCCCATCACAGGCAATCCAAATTGCTTGTTGAACATAGGAACAAATACAACATTGAAAAAAATTATACGCATTCTAGAAATATCAGTTTCTCTTATTACTGTTACCATATGTGATATAACTGCTATGTAGACATTCTGTTTCATATTTTTTCCAGGTACATCCAAAGACTCTAATAGAGAAAATATTCTCCTCTCTAATATTTTACAGGTTTTTATTTATTTTACTCTTCATGGTCAAGATCCTCATAAGAATAGTCTACAAATGCAAATGGTAAGTAGGTTCCATTTTGTGTGCCAGCTTATACTCCAATAGGGTGGGCTGTAAGTCCTTTGCCATTTAACTCAACTGGAAAGCCTTCCGTGGTGCGCAGTGATGTCTGCCATGGATGAGTGAGCCACAAGCAGCCATTCACAATCCTGTGTTCACCGATCCTCCCGCTCAGTTGCCTTCACTTTTTTTTTTTTAATTACTGTATTTATCTTTCTTTTAACTACTCATCATTATTAATGTACTCATACCTCTCTCAGTGGGCTTTTGCTAGGTTCCTGCTGTGTGCCAGAGTTTTCTTCACGCTGGCTTAGGGAAATCGAGGAAGACAAAGCCCCATGAGTAAGGGCAAGAGGTGAAATGGCTCAAAGAGCTCTCATTGCTTGTTGTGCCTTTGCCAGTTCCATGCCTGGAAATACCTGCTCCTCCAGCCTCAGAAGCCTTCCTGCTGCCTGCAGGTGGCACTGACCACCTGCCTGATGCCACTCACATGCTTTCCAAGCCCCAGATCTGGTGCCACAGGATTGCCTTTGTTTACTCCCTGGTCTCTCTCCCACCCCAGGCAGCCATCAGCTCCAGAATGGCATCTGTCTCCTGGGTCTCACTGTGCTGGAGATTGGGCACTTAGGCATTTTTAAAAAGATGGATGACCTGATGGATAAATGAGTGAGTACATAAACATAATAAACTTCGACCCAATGAAGGACAATGCATCAAGTTATACAATTTTAACTTTATCTACCAGTTCACTTAAAAATAATGGATCTGAAAAATGGTGAGGTGAGGGAAATGAGTGATTCCTATTTACTCCTATTTATTGGGGATTTACTAATCTTCTCATTTCAACAACCAATATTCAGAGATCATTACAGGAAAGTGGGAGGCTGGGAAACCTGTTTCTGTCAACTTTTTATTCCATATAAGGATGGCCCATTACATATACATATCCTCAGGACATGGGCTTCCTCTAAGAGGCGGAGGGCAATGGGTGCTCTTGGTGCAGGACTTGACTTCAAGTAGCAGCTGAACCTCAGTGATGGTCCCTGGCCTTCTGCGCTGGGAGAGGGAGTTTTAACATATTACGAGAGAGCAATGGGACCGGGGAGTGAGTCATTTCCTCCTTCTAACTCTCTGTGGGGTTGGCTTGTGAGGCTCTGATTTGGAATGAATTTGGAGTGACCCCGATGTGTTCTCGCCCCCCACCAAGTAGCCTTAAAAAATATATTTGTGCCTAACCGGACGTGAGTTAAACTAAAAAATGACTCTGCTAGCCAATAACGTAGGTCATCAAGCTCAGGGGCGGGTGTGCAGCTGGTGAATGATGTTTGTGTTGCCTCACTTACCAAAAGGGCCTCTTGGGGAGGGGAGAAATGTCAAGGAGGACATCTCAGGAAGAGGGACAAGTGTAGCCCTGGGCCAAAGTTTCTTAGAACAGCTACTGAATGAGGTTGCGTCACTCTAATTACTGCAATAGTGGATCTCATGGGAAACTGGAAACCTTACAGGGGAGCTGAACGCTCACACACACTCACACGCATGAACACCCCACGATGGGTGCATTTTGTATCGGGATTCCTTCTGTGTCAGCACCTGACAAGTGCTGAACTTGAAGATTAGCAGGGTCACCATGGCTGCAAAGGTGTGTGTGGGGGTAGATGAAAAAACCACCTGCCCTCAAACACATTTCTATAGTGACAACAGGCTTCGGTGACAATGCGCAGGCTTCATAATCAGCTGAGCATGTCTCTGGGATAGGCACTGGGAGTATACTGGGGAGAAAAAGCCAGAGGAAGAGAGAGAGCCAGCTCCATTTTGCTAAAAGACAGATTAAATTTCAACCCCTGGAGGAAAACAAAATGTGAAATTGAAAAATGAAAAAATGCTAAATACAGGGCTTATTTTCCACGCTTTTTGTTATTGTTTAAAATGCATACCTGTCTTTTGAACAGTTGCAGAATGACAGATGCACGCGCTTTGACCCCAGTCCTCCTGGATGCTGCCTGGCGCAGCTGGGCATCTCTCTGACCTTTCTTTCTGGACAGCGTGGTGAAGGGGAGAGGGAAGCTTCACCCTCCACAATCTGTCTGATCCAGCACAGCTGCATTTTCTCATTCTTGAGAACCGGACGAGTTTCCTGAGCCCTGGGTTGATATACTGTACCATCTTTGGTGCAGCTGTAATTTTAACAAGGGGAACCGACTTGAACCTCTCTAATCCTTACTCCAGACACCTCGCACTCCTGAGACTAATGTGTATGCGTGCATGTGTTTTTGAGGATTTTTCAGCTGTGCTTCTGAGAAAGTGGCTCAGTCCAAAGTTTAAAAAAGAAAAGAAAAAAGTGGGGAGGGGTTTAGTGGCACATCTGTCTGATTCTGACCACAAGACATTTCAGTAGCTTTTGTATTTACAATAGCAAAAATAATGTTATTATTCTGTGCTCACCTACTGATGTCTTTCCATTTCTATCGTCTCTTCTGGGATAAAATGATGGACACTATGTCTCCTTCTCTGCTTTGAGCTGTGGAAGAATCATCAAGAATTAAAAGTGTGAGAGGCATCGGGGAAAAGGCTTGGAAATCAATTGCAACTAGTCTCAGAATTGCACAGCCAACTTCAGATTTTTCTTTTTTCTCAAAACTTATATTTTGGGAGGGAGCTGTTTTATGAATGAATGTAGGCCTGACACATGAAGCGCGTGGGATTTGTCTGAGGGCCTCATCTGGGTCCACTGTGACATCTGGCTCTGATGAATCTGGCATATTGTGACTCACAGATACACAAATAATAATCCTTGATAGTGACCACTTGTGACTGCCAACAAACAATGTCAAATGTCAGGGAACGGCTGCGGCTGCCGGGCTGAGCTGCTCTGGCCCCTGCTGCCCTGATGTTGTAGAAGGCTCTGAGCTGCCGTCAGGGAAGAGTCACGGAGCTCAGAACCTCCTCATCTCACTAGGACCCCAAAAAGCCTGGCCCTGAGGAATTTATACTCATGGGTGCTCCCTGAGTGCTCCTCTTAGGAAAGCCCGGTTGAGAGCATATGGCTGTGATGGCCGCTGGTCTGGGTTTGAACCCTGGCTCAGCCACACCCTCTGCTGAGAATGTGGCAAGTTGTTTAACTTCTCCGTTTCCTCATTGGCTAAAACAAAAAAAAGGTGAAACAGTGATTAAAATAGCTGAAGTTCATTGAAACTTCCTATGGGTCAGGCATTGTTCTAAGCAAGGTGCTAGAATTATTTCAACTAAGATTTTAAAAATATGATGTGCTTGGTGTTTTGCCAATGAAGAAACTAACACATAGCCACATTGGTAGTAGGTGTTGGAGCCAGAATTCCTTGAGCCTTTCTGAGACTCTAGGGCAGTAGTTTCCAATCAGGGGCAGTTTTGCACCCCAGGGGACATTTGGTATTTGGTAATGTCTGGAGACACTTTCAGTTACCACTACTAGGGGCAGGAGAAGAGTAATACTGGTATTTATGGGGCTGAGGGCAGGGATGTTGCTTAACACCCTACAGTATACAGGACAGCCCCTACAGCCAATGATTATCCAACCCCAAATGCCAACATAACATGTGTTAACTCATTTAATTCTCAAAATAGCCAGAGAAGTGCTATTTTTATTCCTATTTTAGATATGGGGAAACTGAGGCACAGAGTTGCTAAGCAACTTGCTGCCAGCAGAAAGACAGCAGGTGGCATAGCTAGGAAGCAAGCCCAGGCAGTGCAGTGCCAGAGGCCACACCCTCCACCACTGTAATGAGCTGCCTCTACCTAGAAGGGGCTGGAGGTCATTTAGGCAAGGTGAGCAAAGATTTCCAAGTGCAGCAAGTCAAAATCAAGAGACAGCATAAATAACAGAAACACACACTTAAGTCACCTATATTGTTTATAAGCTTTTTTATATTCCTCACTGAGGGCAGAAATTGATAAGTGAGTGGGCACACATAATCACGGATTAGGGAACTCTCCTGTATGTGGTTTCAGACACGAGGGGAACAAGCCAGAGGCCATCACCCTGACCAGGGTATGGAGAAGGCATTTGGGCTTACAGAGGTCTGAAGTGTTGGTCAATATCCATGAATAGCATCTAACGCTAGCCAGGTATTCCCAAATACACACCTTCCATGATGTGTTTTCTTAGTGTCTGCTGCAGGCCCCAAGGAGGGTATCGAGGCAGAGGCAACACAACTGCTAAAGAAAGAACGTACCCACCACATATCCCTTCAATCCGAAGGGGAATCTGTTCAGAGAGATGCCATCCGAGACAGCGTTGCTCTAGAATTCTGCTGTGTGTTAGAACTGTTTCATCTACATTTTTAAGGATTCAAGAATTGGACACACTCTTCGGGCTGAGCTTGGTAGAGAAACTGAGAGTTGAACCAATATCCCTGATAAACCCTTTGCACACAGATGAGGCCTGGAGTTCTGGCCACCTCTGACCATCACTTCCAATTGAACTTCTAATGCCTACTAAATATTAAAGAAGAGCTGTTCAGCCATTCGATGGCATCGTCTGTCACCTGAGGAGGCTGGTATCAGTCAACTACCAACTTCCTACCCAATGATCAGGGAAGTTGGTGAGGGCAATTTATAAATGCATCAATTTTGTTAGGACCACCATGATGATACATTCATTAATGTGTATTAATCCTTCCTTTGCATGTTGAAATAAATTAATATATTAATGTGTATTAATCCTTCCTTTGCATGGAATCTGAGTCCTTTCATGTTTTGGGGGCACACACATCAGCTCCTGTGCATTGTGTTTGGGAGGAGAATGAAACCAGAGGCTAGAGTGATGCTCTGTACCCTGTGCATTTCCTAGGAATGTATGTGGATTTGCCATGACACCACCTCCAATGCTTTTCTGATCCCCTTTGTAACCTGTGCCATTGCAGAACAAATACCAGGATTACTGTGGTGATCTGTATGACTGCACCCACTGCCACTCCTGCCTGATAGTCTTCCACCCACACCCAAAGTCTCCTCTACTCTATTCCTCCCCAACCACATCACTGTGACTTTCTGGGAAAGGCCACCTTTTGCTCAATCCAGTGGACAAGTCCCAATCCTTATCTTCCTTGACACCTAAACTACCTGACATGGTTTCCCACTCACACCTACAGCCCCGTCTGTCCTTGGCACACATGGCTTTGCCTGCCTTTCTGACAATTCACTGTCCTATTCAGTAGTGACCTCTCCTCTCTACTCCAGACTTTTCTATATCTGCAACTGCTGCCTGGATATAGATCCTTAGAATTCGCAGAATCAAATCACACTTAATTTGTCCCAATCTTAATTCATTATTTTTCTGCCCCATGTCTGCTCCTCTCAGTGAATTCTGTATCTTAGTGGACATTAGTGCCATCTTCCTAGTCACCTGGTTGGATACCAGGGAGTGAACCAAGGCCACAAACTTCCTATTTCCCCAAATCCAGGAAGCCAGCAAGTCTTGCAAACTGACTTTTGAATACGTCTTAACTCGACTGTCTTCCCACAATCATTGTCTTGATAAGGCCATTATCATCACACTCTTGCACGATGGCAGTAGTGTCTTTTGCGGCAATTCTTGTCCCCTGTCCTCCTCTCTTTTAAAACCATCCTCACTGTGGTTCTGATGTGTAGTCATATCAGGGCTACATGTGATCTTTAGGTCAAAAGACGTTTTGGTCAAGATCCTAAAAAATGTTAGATAATTCACGACAAAGCATGGCCACAACATAGAATCTGGATACCGGCATATTTTTGTGAGTGTGGGTGTGTGAGTGTGCATATAGGCACACATTACTGCACATATGCCCCACCTCAACTACACAGGATTTACAGTGTTGGTTTGCAAGTTTTTTAGAAGCATGTGTTATTTTTTTCTGGGAGGGGAGGGTACTCTATAGTAGAAATGGAGGAAATCAGACAGGCAGTTACATGGAAATTAAATTAAAATTAAATTACATTAAATTAAAACATAAGCTCCTTTAAGACAGCTGGTCATGATCTCTTGTTATGCCTCACAACACTTAGCAAAATACCTTGTTTAATGTGATCGGATTCAGACCCAGGAAAGAGGCAACTTGCATTAATCAAAAGCAGATGAGGACAGTTGAGCCTCTGCAGGTTAAAATATGCCAGTCTTTGACAAGAAAATGGAGTGGATTTCAGAAGCAAAATATTTGTGTGTGATGAGTTGGAGTTTGGGAGGTTTTTATTTTGGGGTTTTTATTTTTTTAATGGAAAAAAAGAAGCCTAAAGAAGCCAAAAAGATGCTAATGGATGAAATGCTTTGCACATATGGGATGGAAAATTGTGCTCGGCTAAGTCAAAAAGCAGCTCCTGAAGAACGTAATGTGGCTGCGGCTTCACAGGTGCCTGACCCGCCGCCCCGCGACGGTGCTGCTCTGTGTGTTTGGCCCTGCTCCTCCACTCCAGCCGGCAAAGGGGGAAGAACGGATTCAGTCAGGCAGAAACTTCTAGAACCGCTTGGAATCGCTGCTTGTGCCAAAGAAGATATCCTCCTTCTCACCCTTTTATCCACACACAGGAGCATTAAAGAACTAAACAGCTCTCATCTCAACTTCCTCCCAACCTCACTCTTGGCTCATCCTCCTCTGAGGAGCAGCTGTTTTTCAGCTGATGTTTAAGCTCACACACTCTAAGTAAAATTACTCCATCTCTTAAAAAAAAAAAAAAGGAGCTCCTTTTTCCCAGTTTGCTTTAATTCCCCCTAAATATCATTCCTACAGGGGTGCCTCACTTTACACATTTTTAACTCTCCTCCAGAACATATGGTTTATACACAGCAGTATAAATCCAATATTTGCAAATTGAATCAGGATTGAAATTCACCAAGAAAGGATACCATTTAAAGAAACCATGTGGGGAATTTTTTTTTCTTTGACATTTCTTTTCTTTCTTTTTTTCCCTTGAAGCCAAGAATCCTTTGATAATGCAAGTGATTGATTCTTTTCACTCTTTCTTTGAAACATTGGATGTACATTGGGATTTCTCAACATAAGACAAGCACTGGTTTCCAGGCAAGCAGTTACTCATAGGCAGTGGAACTAGCTTTGTGCGTCTCTCCTCATTTTCCCAGCTTGTTCTTACTCTTCAAAGAATGGTGACTATGCAGGAATGTAATATTTAATACAAGTAGTAGAGTTCATGTATCCAAAAGAATGCCATCCCCTCCAAGTTAGCATGTTGGGACCACCTAGAAGTCTGGCACTGTGCTTTTGGCATTGTTTTTTGTTCCAGCTTGGAAAGGACCCTAGGAGGACAGTGTAATGAGCCTGTAGACACAGCATGCCAGTTCCAGGGAGAGCTGTGGTCCTATTGTGTGCTCAGAGCCTGGTCATCAGAAAAGTTGGTCTTCAGCATCTCCAGCCTCCTCTTCATTGGCCCTGAACTTCTCCATGGAAATCTGCTTTCTTCAGCCCCTTGTCTCTACCTTTCCTCCTTCC